CGAGCGCAGGTGGGCAGCGAGGTCAGAGACAGTGGGGAACGAAGCAAGGTCAGGAAAGAGCAGCGGGAGGATCAGGCGACCCACCGAGGCAGCCGGAGGGGTGGAATAGCGCTTGATGACAGCATCTAAGTATGCCTGAGCAGTAGTGAGGGACCTAAAGCGAGGACGCTCGGACGGGGGGAGGGCGTTGCTAATGGCAAGCTGGGCGACAGCATCGCGAGAAAGCCAGACAGAGCGCGCACGGGCAGTGGCAGCAGTAGACTCACGCTCAGTGGGTGTGGGGTCAGCGGGCAGAATAGCAGGAGGGTCTGGGCAGGGGAGCGTACCGTCAAGGTGTGCGGAAAGCGGTTCACCATCCTGCCGATGGCCAGTGAGTTGGCGGCGGAGGTCGGCAAGCCACGCCTCGAACTCTAGGGGCTGACCTTCAGCGTCGAAGCGAAGCTCCGCCGCCATCAGGAACAGTCCAGTGCTGTGCAGGGCGGTGCAGTGCGGTACAGTGCGGTGCAGTGCGGTACTGTGTGGTACAGTGCGGTGCAGTGCGGTGCAGTGCGGTACTGTGCGGTACAGTGCGGTGCAGTGCGGTGCAGTGCGGTGCAGTGCGGTACAGTGCGGTGCAGTGCGGTGCAGTGCGGTACTGTGCGGTACAGTGCGGTGCAGTGCGGTGCAGTGCGGTACTGTACGGTACTGTGCGGTGCAGTGCGGTGCAGTGCGGTGCAGGGCGGCACGGAGCAGGGCGGGGTGGGGGGGGGGGGGGGGGGGGGGAACCGTACCAGTGAGGAGGACGGGGCCGGGGATGGCCCGACGGGGCCGGGCGGGCGCGATGGGGCCGGGCTGATGCGACAGGGCCGGGACAGGGCGACGGGGCCGGGCGAGTGCGACGGGGCCGGGCGAGTGCGGCAGGGCCGGCCCGGTGCGACGGGGCCGGGCGAGCGGGACGGCGGCCGGGCTGGTGCGACGGGGCCGGGCGGCTGTGACGAGGCCGGGCAGGGTGCGACGGGGCCGGGCGGGTGCGACGGGGCCGGGCGGCTGCGACGGGGCCGGGCGAGCGCGACGGGCCGGGCAGGGTGCGACGGCGCCGGGCGGGCGCGACGGGGCCGGGCGGCAGCAACGGCGCCGGGCGGGCGCGACGGGGCCGGGCGGCGGCGACGGCGCTGGGCGGGCACGACGGGGCCGGGCGGCGGCGACGGGTACGACGCGGCCCAGGAGGGGCGCTACGGGGCCCAGGAGGGGCACGACGGGGGGCCCAGGAGAGGCGCGACGAGGCCCAGGAGGGGCGCTACGGGGCCTGGGAGGGGCGCGACGGGGCCTGGGAGGGGCGCGACGGGGCCCAGGAGGGGCGCTACAGGGCCCAAGGAGGGCGCGACAGGGCCCAGGAGGGGCGCTACGGGGCCCAGGAGGGGCGCAACGTGGCCCAGGAGGGGTGCTACGGAGCCCAGGAGGGGCGCGACAGAGCCCAGGAGGGGCGCGACAGAGCCCAGGAGGGGCGCTACGGGGCCTGGAAGGAGCGCGACGGGGCCCAGGAGGGGCGCGACAGAGCCCAGGAGGGGCGCGATGAGGCCTGGGAGGAGCGCGACGGGGCCCAGGAGGGGCGCTAGGGGGCCTGGGAGGAGCGCGACGGGGCCTGGGAGGGGCGCGACGGGGCCTGGGAGGGAGTTACAGGGCCCAGGAGGGGCGCTACGAAGCCCAGGAGGGGCGCGACGAGGCCCAGGAGGGGCGCTACGGGGCCCAGGAGGGGCGCGACGGGGCGCTACGGGGCCTGGGAGGAGCGCGACGGGGCCCAGGAGGGGCGCTAGAGGGCCTGGGAGGGGCGCGACGGGGCCTGGGAGGGGCGCGACGGGGCCTGGGAGGGCGGTACAGGGCCCAGGAGGGGCGCTACGAGGCCTAGGAGGGGCGCTACGGGGCCTGGGAGGAGCGCGACGGGGCCCAGGAGGGGCGCTAGGGGGTATGAGCGGAAGCTGTAGGTGGGGGGGGGGATCCTACCTACGCGTGATACCATATCAGAAAATTGAATGATAGTGATAGAGGGAGAGTACACACAATATAGCTAAGTGTTGTACCCTCTAAGAGGCTACCCTATACAGTCTATACAAACATAACAAATAGACATGTTTGACATTTGAAACCGACGGAAACGGGTGAAAGTATGGCCGGCGTTGGGCTTTGGAATCCGGATGCAGCTGAAAGAAACCTTGAATATGCGCGAATGTTTTATGAGTACCTTTCAATCGCGGGGTTTTTTAAGGTAATTCCGCGTCAGCGTGGTGCCCGGACCACACCGAGTCAGGGCCCATTCCTTACCGATGTGGCTGACCATTTTGTGGCGAGTTGATTACGGTCGATATTCCAGCCTGAGAGATGGGAGACGATCGTGAGCGTCTGTAAGTTTGTGGCAAGTTTCCTGCCACTGGCGAAGAATACGCCCTCAAACAACACCAACGCAGCTGGGAGGGGACACGTGTCTGCATGAGGAGTTTTCCATATATAGTACTGTACTCTACGTACTCTTGGTTGTGGGGAAGTGGGAGAAGGGAGGTTCGTATGTGGCTGTGGGGTGGAGTGGAGACTCGGCAAATCTTCCTTGGCTGCGGGGGTATGAGAGGGGTGTGAGTGAGTTGTGACTGGTTGCAGGGAACTTCGCCAAAAATATGTCTTGCGGGTGTTAGGAGTGGGGTACGGTGTGACTGGTTGCGGGGGGACTTAGCAAAAAAAAATTGGCATGCGGGCGTTCTGAGTTCGGTGTGACTGCCTGCGGAGGACTTCGCGGATTTTTTTGGGGGTGTGGGTGGGTGTGTCTGACAGGGCGGGGTAGTTGGGCAAATGACGCTGTACTCGGTTTCAGCGCCGCCCCACATACTTACGCTGATGATTCAGCGTACACCCTAAAAGAAAGGCTGAAATTTCAGGCAACACACAAATAAAAAGGCTGATTTTTCAGGGCCCACTAAACAAAAAAAGCTGAGTGTTCAGCCTTGGTACCAACAAAATGTCTGGAAAAAGGCTGAATCAGCGTAAAAAGGCTGATATCTAGGGCCCTGGTTTGCACCTATGCTATTGGATTTAGGGCAGAATGCAAGGCAAAGCAAAGCTCCAATAGTAGTGCGTGAAGGCCATGTACCGTAATCTCCCGGCATGATTACCCCCCAGAAAAAGGGACCCTGGGTCTTTTTTCCGGACCATGGGTCTTAATGTCGTCAAGGGATTGTTGTGAGGACCCGCTGTTTGGGGTAAATCATTTGAGGACCCTCGATTTCCCTCAACAGTGTATTTGTACTCTTTTTTAGTTCCTGATTTTGGTCACGCATTCAAAGCGCCCCCGTTTGCCTGTGCACCTTATCAGAATGAAGAATCACTAGAATGGGGAGATACAAGGCAATATAGATTGGTGAGCTGTACCCACTAAGGCACAAACACATATAGTCTACAGTAACTGCATAAGTTATGTTTGACACACCCCCTAGACTACATAGGGGCAGTGCCTAACAAGGGAAGAAGCAGCTCAGGGCGGCACTACTAGTCCAGCCTCTGAGACAAGGGTCTAAAGACCAGTCACAAGGAGTACGGACAAGGCAAGAGCAAGGCCAGGGCGGCACTACTAGTCCAAAGTCAAGGCCCTCGCAAGTGAGAGGCTACAGGAACGAGACCTAGCTGTACACAGTGCCGCTGATGATCTTTAGGCGCAAGCGCCTTCGTAAAGATATCAGCTGTGTTGGCACCGGAGGCCAAGTGTACTACGCGGGCCTGGCGGCGCTGCTGGAGCTCACGCAAGAGGAAGTACCGCAGCTGGATGTGCTTCGCTCTGCCCTCAAATCAAGGCTCCTGATACAGGAGGATCATGGCCCTGATGTCAGCGTACAGGACCGGGGCAGAGCTAGGCCGCTCACCTGAGTCAGTGAGCAAGAAGGTCAGCCAGCGGAGCTCCTGTGCCGGCATGGCACCGGCGTAGATCTTGGCCTCACAGCTGGACTGGGCAACAGACGAGGAGCGGGTAGCTCTCCACGAAACGGCACCTGAACTAAGGCTGAAGCAGTAGCCTTGCGAGGACCTGAGGGTCTCGGTGTCGTCTGCCCAAGAAGCGTCTGTGTGTCCTCCTAGCACTAACCCCATGCCCGATGTACTTGCAAGATAACGCAAAACCCTCTTAGCGGCAGACCCGTGCTGTGGTTGGTGTCTGCCTGTAGCCACAAAGCGAGCCAGGATGCTGAGAGGGTATGCAAGATCTGGGCGAGAGCAAGTCATCAGGTACATGAGGCAACCCACCAGCTCTGCGTAAGGACCACTGGGCTCTGCCGACTCCTCAGGAACTGGAGTGGAGAGACTGTGGTCTAGAGGCAGAGGAGTGGGCTGTGCGGAGGAGAACTGAAGGCCGAACCTCTGAAGGACCTGGCGCACCAAGTGTGACTGAGTCAAGGTGATGGTGCGGGCTGCTCTGTCCCTGGAGATCTGCAAGCCAAGGTAGTGACGCAGTTCTCCAAGGTCAGTGCAGGTGTGTCTCTTTAGCAGCTCTGCCTTCACGGAGGCCAGTGCGTCCTTGTCTGCCGTGGCGAAGACCAGGTCGTCTACATAAACAAGGATGTAGAACGGGGTCTGGCCAGCACGAACGAAGAACGAGGGGTCTGCAACGGATGGAAAGAACTGCAGGTCAGCAAGCGTAGCACGCAGCGTGTCGTGCCACTCACGGGGAGCCTGCCACAGGCCGTAGACGGGGTGCCGGAGGAGCCACTGGGTCCCACGAGGGAAGGTACCAGTGAAGCCCTGAGTGATAAGTGTGTAGTGTTCTGTGGTGTGATTTGCTCTAGCTGGCTGTGGGCTATTGGGATTTGGGCAAAAGAATTGGGTTGGTTGGCTAGGTTTGATCTCGTTGCCTTTCCAACCCATACTACCCCATACCCACTACAGCATCTTTGATGTTGCAGCTGTGGCACTTGGGAGTGTTAGGGTTTGGTTCAGGGCGAGGGTTGGTGTTGTTTGACAATCAAATACTCCAACTTTTCCAGATCGAACTGCTTCCCTTCTCGTTTTTACTAGGTGATTCATGGCTGCCTAGCCAAATTACCAGTTTTACCCCCTCACACTGATTTCGTCATAATCGGCGGCTCAGATCTTGGTTATGAACGTGCTTTACCATTCTGGAAAGTAGAGATTAAGACCTTTCCAACGCGTATAAGCTCATTTCTAGAAGTTACCTGAGCAGCACGCAATGATTCGTTGAGGTCGTCAGACTTAATCTCTAATTAGTTCTCTCCAGATTTGCACGATTTCCATCAGTGGTATCAGAGCCACGGTTAGAGGACGTTCTTTCCTCCATTGGAAGAGATCTAGGGAGGCTTGAAGTGCTCCAGATCTAGGGTTTGACATGGCCCAAAAGTTGGATGGCCCTCCTAGGTTTACCGGCTCGGACTTTTCGCTATGGAGGTTCCAGTTCACACTATGGCTAGGTATTAAGGACCTAGAAAGTGTGTTGGATGGATCGGAGAAGCGACCACGAGCTGACTCTGGGGAGGCGTCTACTGGAGCAACCAGCCAAGTGGGATCCGGGGCTGGGGGAGCGTCGTTGAGTGGGGTGAAGGAAGGAGGAACTGCTGCAACCCGAACCGGAAGGTCGCAACCAAGTAGCGAGGAGTTGCTCAAAGCTCAAGAAGCATGGGATCGGAAGGATCGCCAGGCTTTTCAGTACCTGTGTTGGGCTTTGGAGGGGCAACTTGAGCTTCTTAAGATGCTGATTGACCTGAAGGGGAAGGAAGGTGCAGCGGCTGCAGCTTGGAAAAGAGTACAAGATAGGCACTTGCAGAAAGGGCTTCTAAGCGTGCTTACTTGGCGGAAGCGGTTTTACACCATGGAGCGGAACTATGGGGAGGGGGAGACCATGGTTCAGTATCTCCAGAGGGTGGATGAGAATGTGCGGGCTTTGGAGGAGCTGGATTACACGGTAGATGAGAAGGAGATCATCTATACTGCGCTCCAAGGGTTGGATCAAGCGGCTAATGAGGCATTACTACAGTACCTTCACCTCGAGCAACAGAAATGGACCAAGGTGTGGATTTGGGAGGTTCTAATTTCTGATGAGGCTCGCAAGGTTGATGCTGGAAGAGGTCTAGAAGGAGGCATGGGTGCAGCAGATAAAGCTTCCTTCAGGAAAGGCTATCAACAGCAAGGAGGTGGGGGGAAGAAGAAAGAGTTGGACAAATGCCTTGTGCCCGGATGCAACAAAAAACACTCTTGGAAGAGTTGCTGGAGTAGGCCTGAGGGATGGAAGCCTCACGGCTACTCTGGAGAGGCCCCACCAGTGACCAAACCTGATTGGGTGGAGAAAAGGATGAAGAAGGGGCTCTGGAATAAGAAGGGCAGCAAGGGAGAAACGGCCGCAGCTGCTAAGGATGAGAAGGGGAAGGGCCAAGACGACTCCTCCGATGATGGTTTCTCGTTTCTCATGCTAGGGCAGGATGCAGCTCTCGCTGGTCGTGCATTGGCTGATCCCAACTTCCTGGTTCTAGACTCTGGAGCAACATCTGGGATGCTTCCTCGCCGTGATCTCTTCACCTCCTACCATCCTCTCCCACCAAATTCGAGGAACGTGATTGTTGGGAGCGGAGATTTGCTGCAAGCAATTGGCATCGGCACGATCACCATTAAGGGGAAGGAGGGGGAGCTAGTGGGTGTGAAGGGGGTCCTTCACGTCCCTGGTTTGGCTGCAAACCTCCTTTCATGCTCGCAGCTGGCTAAACAGGGATACATCTGCACTTTCACGGAGGGAGGGTGTACTGTTAGAAAGGGTGAAGCTGTGGTGATGGAGGCAAAGCTGGACAAGGGTTTATACCTTGTTCCAGCTTGTGTGCCTAATTGTTACAAGGCACATATGGTTTTTTCTGAGGAAGCCGCTTGTAGCACTCGCTGGAGGCAGGTGGAAACGGTGTCACCTGAGTTGCTACACCTTCGCATGGGGCACGCGGGGAAGCAGCAACTGCTGGAGTGTGTGAAGAAGGGGGAGCTGAAGGGGGTGGAGGTCAAGGAAGGAGCTGGGCAGCAGAGCAAATGTCCCGACTGCACGTCTGGAAAGCTGCCTAGAACCTCATTCCCTATCTCCTCTGATCATGCCTCGACTCCCCTTGAGCTGGTGCACACGGATGTGTGTGGACCGATGCAAACTCCTGACCGGGAAAGGGGCAGCAGGTACTTTGTCACCTTTCTTGATGACTTCAGTCGACTTAGCTGGGTCACCTTGGTGAAGACCAAGGATGAGGTGGCAAAGGTGTTTAAGTGGTGGATACGCTATGTGGAGAGGGAATCAGGGGTCAAGGTAAAGGTGTTAAGGTCAGATCGGGGTGGAGAGTACCTTGGGAAAGAACTTCAAACCTTCTTGGAAGAAAAGGGTATTACCCACCAGCTCTCTGTACCTTACACGCCGCAGCAAAATGGGGCAGCGGAGCGGCTTAACAGGACCTTGACCGATTTGGCTCGAGCCATCCTTTCCCATGCCGAGCTTGATAACACTTGGTGGGGGGCAGCAGTGCAGTATGCCAACTGGGTGAAGAACAGGATGGGCAGCAAGGGGCTTGGAGGCAAGAGCCCATACTCCTTATGGACAGGGAAGGTGCCGAATGTTTCCATGGCACGAGTGTGGGGGTGCATGGCACAGTATAAGGTACCTGACCAGCAAAGAAGGAAGCTAGATCCTAAGGCACAGTGGGGGATCTTCCTTGGGGTTTCTGAGAGGAGCAAGGCTTGGGTGCTGTGGAGTGTAGCTGACCAGCGTGTGATGGAGAGCCGTGATGTGGTTTTCCATGAGGGGCTGAATTTTAAGGGGTGGAAGGAGCATGGTACAAGCCAAAGTGGGACTTCCATTCAAGACCCTCATACGGCTTCTATCTTTGAGGGGGCATGGGAGGACCCTGGAGATGAAGGGGAGGAGCAGCAGGAGGAGCCAGAACCAGCTGATCCTAACCATGAGGAGTCCCGAGAGACAGATTCTACCCCTCAGCCAGCCACGCAGGCCGATGCGCGTGATGATCAGCCGGAGCAGCATGTGCCTTCAACTCCATCGAGAAGCAGTTGGCAGCAGTTGTTGAACCAGCAGCTGTCCAAGAGTCCAAGGACTCCAATGAAGAGGGTGACTTGGGAGGAGAAGTTGCGGAGGCTGGAAGAAGGAGAGGCAACACCTCTGCGACGCAGTGCTCGAATTTCCCAGCCACCTGAAAGGTTTTCACCGGGGCACATTGCACGCATGCATGATCATCTTGTGTCTGATTTGGATGATTGCATGCTTGTGGACATGCATGGGCATGAGTATGCTCTTGATGTGTGTCTAATGGGTCAGGTGCATGAGCCTAGGTCAGTCCATGAGGCGCTGAACCGTCCCGAATGGGTTGAGTCTATGCATGAGGAGCTTGAGTCTCACAAGGTAAATGGATCATTTGAGTTGGTTGATCCAGCCGTGGTACCACCTGGTTTGGAGGTCCTCAGGTGTCAATGGGTTTGGAAATACAAGCATAACCCTGATGGTACCATTGAGAGGCCTAAGTCCAGATTGGTGGTGATGGGAAACACGCAGAAATTGGGAGTACACTATGAAGAAGTGTACTCTCCAGTTGGGAAGCATGCGACCTTGAGAGGTATGCTTGGAATTTCAGCTGCTTTGGGGCTTGATATCCATCATATGGATGTCAAGACAGCCTTCCTCCATGGGGATTTGGAGGAAGAGCTTTACATGCGGCAGCCCCCTGGTTTTGATGATGGGTCTCACCGAGTGTGTCGCCTCAAAAAGTCCATTTATGGGCTAAAGCAAGCCCCACGACAGTGGTACCTAAAATTTGATGAGGCTCTCATGGATTTTGGGTTTGAGAGATCTGAGTGTGACCCTGCCTTGTACCACTTTGTGAGAGATGAGGAGCGGATCTCCTTATTCCTCTATGTGGATGACCTTTTGCTCCTATGCTCTAGCAAGGCTTTGCTAGATCGAGTGAAAGAGTTCTTGTCCTCGCGTTTTCGCATGAAGGACTTGGGGGAGGTGAAGTACTACTTGGGAATGCAAATTGAACGTGATGAGAGTGGTATCTTGATTCATCAAGAGAGGTACATTCTTAACATGCTTCAGTCCTTTGGTCTCTCAGAGGCCAACCCCGTGCGTACTCCTCTCCCAACAGGCTTTGATGTGCATGCCTATGAGGATGAACCCTTGCTGCGAGATGAGCTGGTCAAGCTCTACCAAAGCATTGTGGGATCCCTCATGTATGCTTGTACTACCACACAGCCACAGATTGCCTTTGCAGTCTCACAGCTATCTAAGGTCGCCTCTTGTCCTAAAATGTTTCACTTGCAGGCCGCTAAGAGAGTGCTGAGGTACCTGAAAGGTGGTGTCAAGTCAGGTATCTTCTTCCAAACACAGCCCCAGTCTCAGGTCCAGCTAGTTGGCTTCAGTGATGCTGACTATGCTGGAGATTCCGCAAGTCGCAGGAGCCACAGTGGGTATGTGTTCTGTCTGAATGGGGCAGCTATCTCTTGGCAGAGCAAGAGGCAGCCCGTGGTAGCACTCTCTACCACTGAGAGTGAGTATATAAGTCTGTGTCAGTGCATTCAGGAGGGTGTTTGGCTGAGGCGTTTGTTTGGGGAGTTTGGCCATGATCATGCTGGTGGTGTGCCTGTGTTTGTGGATAATCAGTCTGCCATTGCCCTTGCACAGAATGCATGCTTGCATGGCCGCACCAAACACATGCAGGTCCGGTGGCATTTCATTCGGGAATATGGTAGCTGCGGGTGAGGTGATTTTGCAGTGGTGCCCTACTAACCGTCAGGCTGCTGATATTCTTACCAAGTCTCTTCCATTTGAGCGTCATGGTGTGTGCATGACCTTGCTCGGGATGCAGCCCCATGATGACAGAGTTCCCGCAGCAGATGCCGGCGTCTTGGTGCTCCTCTCCTTGGCGGACTCCATGCTCTGGGTGGCCCCAACCCATGGGCAAGGGGGAGTGGTGTGAAGGCATTTGCCCTATGGTGTTGCGCCACACCCAGCACGAGCAAGGGGGAGTGATAAATGTGTAGTGTTCTGTGGTGTGATTTGCTCTAGCTGGCTGTGGGCTATTGGGATTTGGGCAAAAGAATTGGGTTGGTTGGCTAGGTTTGATCTCGTTACCTTTCCAACCCATACTACCCCATACCCACTACAGCATCTTTGATGTTGCAGCTGTGGCACTTGGGAGTGTTAGGGTTTGGTTCAGGGCGAGGGTTGGTGTTGTTTGACAATCAAATACTCCAACTTTTCCAGATCGAACTGCTTCCCTTCTCGTTTTTACTAGGTGATTCATGGCTGCCTAGCCAAATTACCAGAATACCCCCTCACACTGATTTCGTCATAATCGGCGGCTCAGATCTTGGTTATGAACGTGCTTTACCATTCTGGAAAGTAGAGATTAAGACCTTTCCAACGCGTATAAGCTCATTTCTAGAAGTTACCTGAGCAGCACGCAATGATTCGTTGAGGTCGTCAGACTTAATCTCTAATTAGTTCTCTCCAGATTTGCACGATTTCCATCACTGAGGGCGGCGCAGGTAGACCTGCTCGTGTAGACTGCCCTGAAGAAACGCAGTGGAGAAGTCGAGGAAGTGAAGCTCGTAGTCACGCTGAGCTGCTACGTGTAGCAGCACCCGAAGAGTAGTCATCTTCGGGGTCGGAGCGAAGGTCTGGAAAAATTCCACCCCCTCACGCTGACTGAAACCTCTAGCCACGTAGCGTGCCTTGAACACAGGCGGCTCTCCAGGAGGGCGCTTCACCTTGAAGAGCCAGCGGCCATCGACTACGTTCACCCGAGGTGGGGGAACTGCGTCGACGTAGGTGCCGGTGGATCTCCAAGATGCCATTTCCTGCTCCATGGCAGCTATCCACTGAGAGGCCCAGGGTCCCGAGACCGCCTCAGCGTAAGTGCGAGGGGTCGGGATGTCGAAAGCGTCGGGGTCACCCTCAGGGACTAGAAGCATAGAGCAGAGATGGGGAGCAGCCTCGGACAGGAAAGCAAGCTCGTACTGGCGGTCCTCCAGGACGTCATTGCCGAGGGCAGGAGCACCCTCGACAGACGGAGGACAGGCAGGGTCAGAGACCAGAGCGGTGGCGTAGTCAAGGCGGCGGGTAGAGGCGAAGTCAGCGACCGCAGGTACAAGGGCGTCAAGACTCGAAACCGGAACAGACGGGTTGGCAACGAGAGGGGCAAGGACCCGAGGAACAAGAGGACGAGCGGCATGCAGGAAGTCAGACAGAAGGGGGGGAGCAACGACAAGGGAGGACGGAGGGGGAGACGGGAGGAGGGGTGGACGAGACGCGTGGAAACGAAGCAACATAGGGTGAGAGCGCGAGACAGGGGAGACAGGTCGAGCACGGGAGGGACGGCGAGACCAGACGTGAGACGGAGGAGTCGGGTCAGGAGACAGAGGAGGGGACACAAGAGCGGAACGAGGGGGGAAACGAGCCGGAGACGAGTCCAGAGAAGGGAACACAGGGCTGTAGACAGGAGGAGGCACAGGCACGGGGTCAAGGGACAGAAGGCCGAGCAGGCGAAGAGCGGACACCGGCGGGGACTGCTGCGGCGGCGGTGTGACACCAACACCGAGACCGCAAGCTGCCGGGCGGTGACCTCCAGAACACTCCACGCCAGCACCCCCAGAAGAAACACCCCCAGAGCTCAGAACCCCTCGAGCACCGGTACCACCTCCAGGCCCACCGGGACAAGCCACGATTGGAATCCTAGGCCTAGTACCCACCCCAACTCCAGCACCCCCACAGGCAACGAACTGCGGCGGCGACGGGTGTGGCGGCGGCGGCTACAACGACGGCTGCAGCGGCGGCGGCGACGGGGACGACGGCTGCGACAGCGGTGGCGATGGCGGCTGCGGAGGCGGCGGAGGAGGAGACACCTGAGAAGGGGCAGGCGGCGAGGACTGCACCGCAGGACCACCAGAGTCAGCAGACTCCTCAACCAGGACAACCGACGGAAATGGGGTGACGTGGGACACACCAGAGGGGGCAGGACGGGGAGGGGGAGTAGGGGCAGCGACGACCGGGGAAGGGGTGACCAGGAACAGGGGGGGGGGTAACCGGGGGACCTCGGTGGGGGAAGCGGCGGAAGAAGGAGACGGACTCGTCAAAGGTGACGTCGCGGGAGTGAAAGAACCGGTGCGACGGCGGGTGGTAGAAGTGTAGTCAGACGCGTCAAAGGGGATACCGAGGAAAACACAGGGAAGGGTGAGGGCAGTAAGCTTGTCTGTGCGAGAGGCACGAACGTGAGCAAGGCAGCCCCATATGTGAAACGCAGACGCGCCACCAGGGGACCCAGACCAAAGAAGGGTCGACGAAACCTGAGGCTGCTGGGGGTGCGGCCACAGGTTAAGCTGGTGAGCGGCGTAGCGAATGGCGAACGGCCACAGAAAATGGGGTGCACCGGCATGGATCATGGAGGTGCGAGCCACGTCCATGACCAAACTGATGCGTCGCTCAGCGACCCCATTCTGCTGCGGGGAGTCCGGCAAGGTGAACGTCTGGGTGATGCCCTCCGCACGACAGAAACGACCAAGGACACCAGAGGCAAACTCGCCACCACGGTCGGAGTGTCGACGCAAGACAGGGAGACCGAGGTAGACACGCGCAAAGACAAGCCACGGGATGAGAACGTCAGGCACGTCGGCCTTCCGCTCCAGGGGAAACACCGTGGTGTAGCGCGTGTAGTCGTCGACAAGCACTAGGAAGTAGCGCTCTCGATGCGACCCATGGACGGGGGCGGGGCACCAGGCGTCCATGTGCAGAGTCTGTAGCGGTGCTGCGGTAGGGGGAAACGAGGAGGAGTGAGGGGCACGGCGGAGCCGGCCCTCGACACAGGGCGTGCAAGGTGGGGCTGGAGAGGAGGGAAACTCGGGGAACGACCCAAGGAGGCCTAGGACGAGACCGTGCTGTGACATGTGACGCAGACGCGGGAGTGCAGGGTGACCTAGGCGGTGGTGCCAGAGAAGAGTCGGGTGGGTGAGAGACCGACAGGAGCAGGCAGCAGCAACCGGGGGAGACGTAGCCACCTGAGGGGGGTCCGAGCCGGGGAGGTCACCGTGTCCAGTGTGAAAAGACCGGACACCGGGTCCCGGGGGAACGTGGACAGGGGGGCACCAGTGGCGGCCTCGGTACAGACAATGTACCGCTCGTGACCAGAGAACGTAGTGGTGACGCCAAGGTCCTGAAGGCAGCCGACACCAACTAGGTTCCTGGAGAACGAGGGGATGTGCAGTCCTGTGAGCGAGCCCGAAGGAACCGCCGGGCAGGGGAGGGTGGTGGAACTGCGGGCGACTACTGGGCCGGAGGAGGGGTCAGCAAGAGAGACTGCGGCAGGGACAGGAAGCGGTGTCAACATGGTGGAGTCGCGGAAGAAGCAGCGGGAAGCGCCAGAGTCGAGGGGGAAGGAGAGCGCGGCAGTGGCGGCCAGAGGCGAAGCAGCGACGGAAGCACCAAGGCTAAACAAAGCAGGGGATCCTACGCCTGATGCAGCAGGGGAGGCTAAGCAAGGCACACCTACACTAGGCAACAAGGGGTAATAAGACGGAAGCACACTAGAGTCATCAGCATACATCACATGCAGAGTAGTAACAATCGCATCCATATACAGATCAAAAATCTGAACCCTACGACGAAGCAAGCTGTGCCAGTCTAGGAGCTCGGGCGACGGGCCGAAGCGCTGACGAAATAGGTCGTCTAGGCGACGGAAACAGCGGACGGAGGTGAGATCGATCTTACCGCAAACGAAGCCACGGCGAGGACCGGTCTGGAGCAGGTACTGACAGCGCGCGTCACCCGAACCACCACTTGGCAGCCCACCACGCGCACCACCACCACGTCTAGCGCTACCACCAGTGCCAGGCCACCCGGGCAGTAGACTCGCCCGTCTCTGCTGCTGCTGCGGCTGCTGTGACTACTATGGTTGCTGCGGCTGACGCGAGCCTGGCTGCAACACCGGCGGCTGCTGAGACGGCTGCTCGGCTGCACCATTCAGGGTCCCCTCATCCGCACTACCACCAGGAGACCCAGCTCCAGCACCACCTACACCTGCACCCCCACCCCCGCCGCCACGCCCAGCCTTGGGGCGGCGACCCTTCCCCGGTCGGACCTGTGCTGCAGCAGCAGTCTCAGCCACAGCAGCAGAACCGTCGGAGAAGGTGCACTAAGCGGGGGCGCAACTCTGAAAGATAGGGACCGGCACAATACCGCTGGTCTGAGCGATAGAGCGGTGGCGGACCTCGATAGCGGACAGGGTGTCAACAAAGTCAGTGAGGGTGAGGTCTGCGGGGTGGACACTAAGGAAGTGGTCACGGGCAGTGGCAAGACGGTCAGGGAGGCGGGTGGCTAGCAGGTAGAGAGTAGAGGTGAGGGGCGGCTGGTGGGCTAGAAGCTGTGTGGCAGTGCAGGCAGCACGCCAGGTCTCATCTATAGTGCGCAGGTGAGCGGCCAGGTCATCGACAGTGGGGAACGACGCGAGGTCAGGGAAGAGCATGGGGAGGATCAGACGACCTACCGAGGCAGCAGGTGGGGTGGAATAGCGCTGGACAACAGCATCTAGGAAAGCCTGGGCAGTGGTGATAGACCTGAAGCGAGGTCGCTCGGACAGGGGGAGGGCATTGCTAATGGCAAGCTGTGCGACAGCGTCACGGGAGAGCCAGACAGAGCGAGCAAGGGCAGCGGCCGCAGCGGACTCACGCTCAGCGGACGAGGGGTCAGTAGACAGTGCAGCGGGGGGGTCAGGGCAGGGGAGGGTACCATCAAGATGGACAGACAGCGAGTGGCCATCCTGCCGCTGACCAGTGCGATGGCGACGGAGGTCAGCAAGCCACGCATCAAACTCAATCGGCTGGCCCTCAGCGTCAAAGCGAAGCACCTCCGCCATCAGTGACAATAGAGGGCAGTGTAGAGCGGTGCAGGATGGTGCAGTGCAACGCAGTGCGGCACAGTGCGGGGCAGTGCGGTGCAGTGCGGCACAGTGCGGTGCAATGCGGTGCAGTGCGGTGCAGTGCAGTTCAGGGCGATACAGTGCGGTGCAGTGCGGTGCAATGTGGTGCAGTGCGGTGCAGTGTGGTACAGTGCGGTGCAGTGCGGTATAGTGCAGTGCAAAGCGGTGCAGTGTGGTACAAAGCTGTGCAGTACGGTACCGGGGGGTTCGCAGGGCGGTGCTGATCGGGAAGACCGGGCAGAACCCGAGGCGGCGGTGGGCTGGCGACGACGCCAATGCAGGGGCGGCCCG